ATATATATATATATATATATATATATATATATATATATATACATATATATATATATATATATATATATATATATATATATATATATATATATATATATATATATATATATATATATATATATATATATATATATATATATATATATATATATATAGATATATAGATATATATATATATATATATATATATATATATATATATATATATATATATATATATATATATATATATATATATATATATATATATATATTTTTAATAATATTCTTCTTTATTCGTTTTGAGTTGATTTCTTCGTCATTATCTTGAACCCTTCCTTTCTGCAATCCGAGCCAATCAGTTTCAGTTTCCGTTGTGATCTTCTTTTGCAGTTTGCTTGAAGTTGGCAGATATGAATGTTTATATACTCACGAATAAAATTACATACAGATTTTCATGCTATGATATCTAACGAGCAATTTTCGTTCCTCTGAAGGATATCAGCTTAGCTGGAGGGCTTGTCTGCGCAACTCCACAATCTTTAAATTCTTATCATTGTGAGTTTTATTTTGTTTATATATTAGAACTCGATCATTCAATTACTAAATTTTGCTGTCAACTCTCCTAAGTTAAAGGGACAATCAATTCTGATTTTTTTTACAGTTCTTTCGTTATTGAACATTGAACATGTGTCTGCATTTGAAGTTACCACCATATCGGAGATTGAAGGTGGCATTGTCCGACCACCTTAAACCAATAAAGTCACCTATCTACGTGGATCCCTCGTAAAGTGGGGTTATAAAATTTTGTGTAGTACCCATTTTTCTGATGGCCTAGAAGAGCTCCGCGGTTTATTATAATATGTTCGTTACAGATTGGTGTTATAGTTACTAGAGAAATTTTCTCGTTCCATTCTATATCTTTGGTTATTTATATATAGTACACATTTTCTCAAGAGTATGCATGCAGATTTATTATTGATCTCACTTTACTAGTAAAGATACCTTTTGATTTACTAGCTAGTGAAGATCGATTTTTTTTTTTTTATCGTGAATGTAACAAAACCGAGTTTGAACACTGAAATATGACTTGTTGGACCTGCAACGAGGTTTGAAAGGCATCTTAGTGGCTAAGTTTATGCTCAACAAGATAGGCCTCTGTTGATCTGATTTTTTCATTGACCTCCAAGAATGCCAGCTCATGTGTTTGAAGTTCTTGCTGATACATTGTGATAAACTAATACTTTGTGCTGCAGAAACTCGATTTCTCTAAAAATTGATCCCGGTGAGGAATAAATATACTTCTATTTTTTTAATTCTTTTATTAATTTTTTTTTTCTTTTTTTAACTTTTGGTAGAAATTCAATGTCGATATTTATAAGTTTACTGTCATATTTTATTAAACTATTCAATAATAATAAGTTCACTCCCAATTTTAAGAAGTTGACTGCCAATTTATAAAAGTTCACTGGTCAAACAGTGGGAAAGCCCGTGAAGGGTCATTTTTTCTAATATATATATATATATATATATATATATATATATATATATATATATATATATATATATATATATATTACTGTCTTTATATTGTGCTCCTATAATATTTAATAATTTGATTTTACATAAAAAATATAATGAAATAATTTTATTTGAAAAAACAAAGAAAGTTAATAAATGAATATAACACATGAAATAAGGAAGTTATAGATTGTGACTTGAAACCAGAATTCATAAAAGTTAAAGTCTTAATTATTAAACTATAAAATTATGGGCGAATGACAAAAAGGCCCATCACATGGGACTTAAATGCATGTTGGTCCACAAAAAAAACAGTCTCTCAATTAAACTCATCCCCATGTCTTTAGTCTAAAATACCCTCCATAATATAATTCTTATCAATTCCATCTATTATGCTCTAACTTCCTTAATATTACACATTGACCCCGGATTTAAACAAATATATTATATTAGCCCCCAATTTTTTTTTTCAGAAAATAATTTTTTTTCTGAAATGTTTTTTTTTCCGGCCAGATTCCGGCGTTGACTTTTTTTTTTTTTTTTTTTTTGAAAACTTTTTTTTTCCTGCATTTTTTTTCCGGCCGGTCAACCACTGTTGACCGCCGGTCTCCGGCGTTGACTTTTTTTTTTTTTTTTTTTTTGAATTTTTTTTCTTAGAAAAAAAATATTTTAATTAATATTACTATCTTGACTACTAAATTAGTGTCTCAGACAGTAATATTACTGTTTGGGACAGTAATATTATGAATATTATTTTTCCGAACAGTAATATTATTAATATTATTGTCTAAGACAGTTAAATTACTGTTGGAGACAGTAATTTAGGAGCCAAAGCAGTAATATTAATTAAAATAATTTTTTTTAAGAAAAAAAAAATTTAAAAAAAAAAGTCAATTAACAGTTAAATTACTATCTCCGACAGTTAAATAAATGCTGGAGACAGTAATTTAGCAACGAATACAGTAATATTAATTATAAAAAAAGTCAATTAACACTTAAATTACTGTCTTCGACAGTCAAATAACTGCTGGAGACAGTAATTTAGCAACGAATACAGTAATATTAATTAAAATATTTTTAAAAAAATCAATTAACAATTAAATAACTGTCTCCGACAGTTAAATAACTGGTGGAGACAGTAATTTAGTAGCAAAGACAATAATATTAATTAAAATATTTTTGAAGAAAAAAAAAATCAATTTATAGTTAAATTACTGTCTCCGACAGTTAAATAACTGCCGGAGACAGTAATTTAGCAGCCATGGCAGTAATATTAATTAAAATATTTTTTTTAAGAAAAAAAAAAAAGTCAACGGCAGTTGACTAGCCGGAAAAAATTTCTGGGGAAAAAAAATTTCAAAAAAAAAAAAAGTCAACGGCGGTCTCCGGTGGTGGCGGGTCAAAATTGGGGTCAAAATTGAAATTATGGTTAAAATTGGTTGATTGATGAAATTGGGCTAAAATTGGAGTGTAAATCATGAAATTGGAATTGAATTGAGTTTCAATAATTGGGGGTAATTTTGGTATATATAAAGGGATTTTCCTTATTTGCAAATAAGTTTGAATGAGCTGGATTTATTTGAAAGGCAAAAAAGTTGGACGTCCCTCTTTTAATTAAGTGCCCTTGTCATGGGTCTATCTGTCATTTACCCTAAAATTATTAAGGGGTTATTAGCAAGACCCCCCAAATCTAGGAAATGTAGTCAAGAAAAACAATCTTCCCAAAATTAATTAGAGAAAACCCCCTTAGTATTCCACCAAATGTTAATTTCATAATTCCAAAACTACCCTTAATTGTCTATTATACTCTTTCAAAATCCTAATCTTATTTTCAATTTTTCATCTGCCGCTTCAAGTTCCAGCTTTCTTTTCTCTTCTTCTCTCTTTTCTCTTCTTCTGTTTTCTCGTCTTCTTTGTTTTTTTTTCTCTCTATTTTCTCCGGCAGCTTTTCTCTTCTTCTCTCTTTTCTCTTCTTCTGTTTTCTCGTCTTCTTTGTTTTTTTTCCCCTCTGTTTTCTCCGGCAATCTTCTCCTCCACCGCCGCCGGAAGATGGAGAAAGAAAGAAGATAAAGCACCCATCAAACATTATAAAT